CAACAGGCAACAGGCAGACAGGCAGCGGCAGCCCGCCTGGAGGGGGGCCCGGGGTGGGGGGGGGGGCTCCGGGGGGGGACAGGCCATGCTCAGCATAGGAGGCCCCGTGCCCTGGAGCCCTTCCCTGCACATAGGAGGCCCCGTCCCCTGGAGCCCTGCTCCCTGCCCAGGGCCATGGTGCCTGCACCACAACCCTTACCCCAGCTCACTGCGTTCCTGTCTTCAGCTGCTCTCTGCATCCCCACTGCTCCTCCAGAGCCCCCAGCAGCCCCCCGAGCTCCCCCACACCCTATAGCACTACGAGGGTCTTTGGCACCAAGCAGGGCAGAGGGAGACAGTCTCAGCTGACCCCAACCCCCCACCTACCCAGGCCATTCCTGCTGCCCATCTACCCCGCACCCCAGAGCATCCCTCGTGGTCCTGCATGGGGATGGAGACCCTCCCAGCCCAATTCCAGAGCCCCTGGGGGACCAGACGCCCCGCTCCCCGCACCCACCTCACCTCCAGCCAGGGTGTCCCACCCAGCACTGCCCAGCCGGGCCATGTCAGGGCTACTGCTCACACGCTGCCGGGTCTCCGCACTGAGGGCTCCTGCATCCATGCTGTGCCCAGTGGCAGCAAGCCGAGGGGGCCAGGGAAAGAAAGGGACCAGGGCAGGTACCGCTGTCACACTGGCGCCTGCAGCCACCTCCGCGCCTGCTGCTGGGCCACACTCAGCAGGCGGCCGGTAGGATGCCCTTGGTAGCTCAGGTTGCTCCTTGACGTAGCCAGCCCACTTGGAACAGCTTGGTCCTTCACCCTGTGCCACCCACACACACACAGACATGTAAGCGTGCACAGTGCTCACACAGACACACAGAGACTCAAATGCACATTCCTGTTGATGCACACACAGATGCACACATGCATGCACACGTGCACACGTGCACACACAGCTCTGCCCTGAGATCTGAGTCCCTCTACCCCCCGCCTGCAGGCAGGCAGCTCTGTCCCCCTCTGCCTGCTCCCACTGCACCAGCTCATCCCAAATCCCATCCTAATGGTGCGGGCTGGCATGGCCCCGGCTCGGCACCTTGTGTGGCTGCCTGCCCCAGGAAACCTGCCTGGGTCAGCCCCCACCCGGAGCAGGGCAATAGGTGCCCAAGGCAGCGGGGCCAGGGAGCTGGGTGAGGAGCTGGGCAGAGGGAGATGCCCCGCAGCTGTGGGAGGGAGCCCCCCAGCCTGAGCATGCCCCAGCCTGGGGGAAGGACCTGCCTTAGCCCCCAGCGCGGGTGAGCGCTGCAGCCTGCCCTCCCCAGGGCTGGGACTGCTGCTGCCAGAGCCGGGCATTGGGGTGCATCGTTTGGGGGGGCGCAGAGACCCACAGGTCCCTTCTCCCAGCCCTGCCCCTGCCAGCTGCTCCCCCCAACCACGGCTGTTCCCACGGCCGGAGCATGTCCCCATGGCCAGAGTGTGTCCCCAAGTCCCTTGAGCCCTGGCCGGGGGGGAGCTGCAGCCTGGGGGAGGGCAGGGGGGCTGCTTTGCATCTCAAAGGCTTCGCCCCCCTGGCAGAGGGAATTAACATTATTAGCAAGTCATTTCACAGATAAGTGGGGCTCATTAGCCCTGCAGACCCCCTGCCCCAGAGCCCCCGGAGTGGGTGGGGGAGGGCCCC